TGCCAGAAGACAAACCTTGGTTGATCTTGAAAAAATAAAATGGAATCTGATCTATTTAGTAGAAAGATTGGAAACTATGAAGGAATCCTAGAAATACAGGTAAGATATAGATAATCCCAGAGAGAAGACAACCTCATAGAAGTCAAACCAATTCTATATTATTGCCCAGAAAACTACAAGGATGTTGACATGAAGTCACTAGGAGTGACTTACTTTAAACCAAAATATTTAGAATGTCCCTAAAAATCATATTGCAGTAAATTAAGTTCTGAGTTTAAATTTTTAGTTAGGGATTTGAAAAGAACGGAATAAAAGAAATACACAAGCAAGCTACTTTTCAAACAGAAAACTAGCTTAAAATAGAAGAGAGTCATGTTCTCATTTTTTTCTGAAGCTTTTAAAATTGCAGGTAGTCCCCAAAATGAGACACAATCTTGCTCTTTTTGAACCTGCTGCCTTCATGGTCTGGCTTAAAAATTACAGTCCTGAGGGCACTGCAAGAAATACTTAAATACAGTGAATTTCACCCGGAGTGCATTTATACTTGCTTAATCATAAGCAAGCTGCTGGAATTCCTGAATGCTGAAATATCTATGACTTTTAGAGCAAGAGGGAGGATATTATCTGGGTCTCAGCCAAATATTTTTGAATTTGGATAACCAAGTTATTATTTCTTCCTGGCTCCCCAGATCAACTGACTAGAATCTGGACAAAAGCGAAGCATTTGGAATGAAAGAATTCTAAATCCTAAAATTTGTCCTGTGGATCAGATATGATACATAGGATAACAGCAGTGAAAGATGGAAAGATTTGTCAGTGCCTACAATGGAGGAATGGTTGGTGAAGATATCAGAGCTTGCTACAATGGCCAAGTTGACCTTCTTGATTAGAAAAAAAGATGGAAACCCCTTACAGATATTTTTATATTACAAAAAGAACTTGTGATTTATGGTTTTAATAATTATAGAATAGAAAGAAGAAAGAGAGTCCTGATGTAATTTTAGAGGAGTTAAAATACTTGCTTGAAATTCTGGATCATCTCAGTCAATTCTGATAATTTTGAGTCAGAGGATCTCAACACACAGGAGTTATGCATACTTTCGACCTTAATAGCATAAATGCCCAATTAAAATATACTGCACACCCTTAAAATTGACCACAAAGTGGTACTTAAGCAGCCATTAAGAACAAGTAAATAAAAATAAATGTGTTTTTCCTAAAGGTGTCCAGTTGTGGCTGTAAGTCAAGGACCAACTGTAGTGATGCAGTTTTGAAACAATTACACAGCAAGCATAACAAAACTTTTGTGAAATTCTTAAATTAGACTTAGAGTTGGTTCATGTATTTGTGTTGTGTCACAATGGAGTCTGCTGCTTGTAGCTTATTATGCAAATGCATTGTAGTTTGCTGCTTGTAGTTTAGTATGCAATGCACTGTGGTTTATAAAACCATGGTTTATGACAGCACAGGGGTCAAAAACTTGCAACCTCAGGGCCACATGCAGTTTCCTGAAGTGCTTAAATGTCTTCTACAAACAGTAATTGGTGAAACTGAAAGCTAGTTTCCTTCATTTTGAAGTACGAAACACTCATAAAAAGTTTACTGTGTGCCTCAGTGTAGAATGATCTATTAATAAAAATAGCCAGCCCAGTATTGTTTTATGATATGATCCCAACTACTGTTGCGATTCCTCGCCACCCAGTGGACCCAGCAGCTGAGTCTGAGGAATCAGAGGAGGAGGAAGAGGGGCCTGGAGTGACATCAGAGTCAGAGGAAGGCTCTGAGGAGCTCCAAGACTTACAGTCGGACAAGAAGCCTGGCCCCTCTACTTGTGCTCAGGCTGAGACACAGCTGTGCTGGGAGCCTGAGTTGGACAGTGATGAAGAACAGTTGGGACAAATCCAGGATGCAGGAAAGCACAGGCAAGAGAAGCAAGTAGGACAAAGGAATGCAATGGGTCGACTCCAAAGGCAAAGGAGAAGGCATTAGTAAATACAATATAATCCTATTTTTTCCAAGTACTAGTTCACCAAGGAGGGGGGGGGTATTCTCAAACCACATCTAGTACAACTTATATTTGTACAGAGAGAGAGAGAGAGAGAGAGAAACTTCTCTTTGATTAGCTTACATTAATTAACCCAATGTAGTGGATCTCATTATCTGCAAGCAAGTCTCCCTGTTTATAATGGGACTTTTGCCTTAATAAACCTGTTTAAGACTACAAGGTTTGGCTACCATCCTCTGCTCTAGAGATTTATCTATTTATTAAATTCCAACAAATCCTAGCAGAGTTTCAGCAAGAATTAGACTTAATATAAGGTAGCATAATTTTATATTATGTAGTATTGTATAAATTTTATACTTATCTTTTTAAACTTATCTATCCTAAGTTTCATAGCATTTAGATTATATGCTAATTGTAATTTGATAGGATTCTCCCACATTTTAATTCCTGAATGCTGTAATTTTATGTTTATAATTTTAATTTTATCTTCTTTTATTCTATATAAAAGCATTCTGGAGTACATATGTAGGATCCCCCTAACCAACTTGCTCAGACTGAAGAGGTTACTTGAATAAGCAGTGAAATGTTTCAAACCAGCAAAAAAATAAGTCCAATTGCCGTGATGACTCAATTTCCTGACAACTCTACCTGGATGACTTACAATCTTCATCGACATAATTTTTATATATTTTTTTATTTCTACTTTTTAAATAAACAATTATTATTAATTTTATGCTGGTCTATGACCAAAATGCAATTAAGTGATTGCTGTTTACTTAATTTATATAGCTGCACATCTCACACACACAACATCCAGGCAGGTTACCATAAAAAAAAAGAATACATACAATAGAATAGAATACAAGTAGTCCTCGACTTACGACCACAATTGAGCCCAAAATTTACATTGCTAAGCAAGACATTTAAGTGAGTTTTGCCCCATTTTACAGCCCTTCTTGCCATAGTTGTTAAGTGTATCATTGCAGTTGTTAAGTTAGTAACACAGTTGTTGAGTGAATCTGATTTAACCATTGATTTTGTCAGAAGATTGCAAAAAGTGATCACATGATCCCGGGACACTGCAACCGTCATAAAATAAGAGTCAGATGCCAACTGTCTGAATTTTGATCACTTGACCATGGTGATGTTGCAACAGTCGTTTGAAGAGATGGACGTTAAGTCATGTTTTTCACGGATGTTGTAACTTTGAGCAATCACTAAATGAACTGTTGTAAGTCAAGGACTGCAGTAAAAGTGTGATTAGGCACAAGGAATTTGTCTCTGGTGCAGAAGCTCTCAGTGCACATACAAATCAACAGAGTAGTGATAATAATAATAGCAATAAGAGGGTGTAGTAAAGAAGATAAGGACAATATAGGTAGTCCTCGACTTATGCAGCTAGATGACTCCACTGACGCTAAGGCATTTTCTTTTACAGAGCTGCAGCTCTCTGACATTACATAAAAATAAACATGAAAGTAACATTTAAAGCATGGCAGACCTCTTGGGGGGTTGCCAAATCTTAGCTTTTTGTAGGCATATATATCAGGGGTCCACAACCCCTGGTCCGTGGACCGGTCACGGTCCGTGGCATGCCAGCAACCGGTCCGCGCAAACAAGCAAAGCCCCATCCACCGAGATGCAGGCAGCACATAAAACCACACACTCTCCAGTCCGCGGAAAAAAACTCTCTCTATGGAACCGATCCCTGGTGCTCAAAAGGTTGGGGACCTCTAACTTACAACCACAACTGAGCCCAAAATTTATGATGCTAAGTGAAACATTTGTTAAGTGAGTTTTGTCCCATTTTACGTTTTCTTGCCCCAATTGTTAAATGAATCATTGCAGTTGTTAAGATAACAACATGGTTGTTAAGTGAATCTGGCTTCCCCACTGACTTTGCTTGTCAGAAGGTCGCAAAAGGGGATCATGTGACCCAGGTGCAGTGCAACCCTCATAAATACGAGTCAGTTGCCAAGTGTCCAAATTTTGATCACGTGACCATGAGGATGCTGCAAAGGTCGTAAGTGAAAAATAGTCCTAAGGGGTCCTTGGTGCTCTCTTTTCTTGCAGAAGTTCTAATGATCCCAAATCTGGGAAACAGTCCCAAGTCACTTTTTTTCAGTGCCGTTGTAACTTTGAACGGCCACTAAGTGAACTGTTGTAAGGTGAGGACTACCTGCAACACAATAATGTAATAATATGAAAATGGAAAACAGGTGTCCCCTGAAGAGACAAAAATAAGTCCTGCAGATCAGATTGGGTGTCCCACTGCCCAGAAGTGGGGGTGAGGATGACCAAGGCTCAGAAGGGGGTTAAGCAGTGCCTCACAGTGGGTAGAGTTGACTTTGGGGTCCTCCCCCCAAATTCACTTTTTGCTCTCTCTCCCTCCCCCCCCCCGTGCCCCAGGCTCCGAGGCAGGCCCGTGGAACCGCACCAGCCTCCTTTCCAAGCCAAGGACCAGAATGTCGCCCCTTCGAATGAGTGACAGCCTCTTCCCACGACTCGCCCCGTCCTCAAAGGCGCCAAAACCGAGGGAGGGAGGGAGGGAGAGAGAGAGAGAGAGACCAGCCAAGCGCGGCCTTTCCAGAGAAGTGGGGCTCCTGTTCTCCCTCTCCCCCCCCAGCCCCCCCCCCAGATGAAGGCAGGCGCTCCCCAGGGCTGCTGGCTGTTTACCTATGGAGATCTCCTGGGCGAAGGCGAGCGAGATGAGGAGCAGCGGCAGCCCGACGGCGATGCAGGTGACCAGCTTGTCGAGGGCCAGCTCCAGCCGCAGCCCCTTGTATCGGCTCTCCGACGGCTCCTTCAGCAAGAAGTCCGAGAAGACGTACTCAGTGGCGATGTGCGCGATGGCCATGGTTGCGGCGGCGGCGGCGAGGACGGCCACCAGCAACCAGAAGCACCTCGCGCGCGCAGCCTAGCCCGCTAGTCCCTGCCGCTCAGCCGGGCAGCATCTCTAATTCCAGCCGCCGCCGCGTCCCCGGCACTTGGCCAGGGCTGCAACAGGGTCCTCCGCCCGTCCGCGAAAGCCAGTCTGCCCGGCCGGGGGAGGGAGCGACCAGCCTTTGTTTGGCGCCCTCTCCGAAGGCAGCCGAGCATTGGCGGGGAGGGAGAGACACCCCGCGCCTCCTCCCTCCTCCTCCTCCCCGCCGGCCTTTTGTCAAGGGGAGGCGGGGCCAGGAGAGCTAGGGGCGGGGCTGCGGGAGGGGGGGGTGTTCCGAGAAGCCGAGGGCGGGGAAGGGGGAACCCGGGCCTGAGTTGCGGGGGGGGGGGGGGAAGCCGCGAACAGGTGGCTCTCCTTGGACTTTTCTCAAAGGAGCTAGCTCCTTAAGCTATCTCGGCCGCAGGGCCTTCGGCTGGATAGATGGTCGAGCAGGTTGCAATCCAGCTTCCTGCACGGGAGGGATGCGTTCGTGTGAATGCGTGGGTGGACTCCGCAGTCTGAGTGGGCTGTTCCGACTGTATGTTCTTTAAGTACACGTAGCTCTCCCGCTTAGGACGACAATCGAGCCCAAAATTACTGCTGTAAGCAAAACAGTTCCAAAGCACCAGAAGGCCGCACAAGAAACAGTGGATGGAAACTCATCAGAGAGAGAGAGAGAAGCAACCTAGAATTAAGGAGAAACTTCCTAACAGTGAGAACAATTAAACAGTGGAACGACTTGCCTCCAGAAGTTGTAGGTGCTCCATCGCTGGAAGTTTTTAAGAAGAGACTGGACAGCCACCTGGCTGAAATGGTATAGGGTCTCCTGCTTGAGCAAGGCGTTGGGCTAGGCTAGAAGACTTCCAAGGTCCCTTCCAGCGCTATTCTGATTGATTGAATTGTTAAGTGAGCTGTGTTCCCACTTTATGACTTTTTTTGTCACATTGCGTTAAACGAATCACTGTCGTTGTTAAATGAATCGTGGGCTTGTTAAGGGAATCTGGCTTACCCATTGGCTTGTTGGAAGCCAGCTGGAGAAGTTACAGATGGTGATCTCATGACCCCTCCCTCCCCCACAGTGCAAATGTCATAAGTTGTCAAGGGCCTGAATTTTGATCATGTGACCATGGGGACGCTGCAATGGTTGTAAGTGTGAAAAACGATTTTTCAGTGCTGTTGTAACTTTGAACAACCCACTAAACAAATGGTTGTAAGTTGAAAACTTCTTATAAGTAAGAGATAGTGGGAAGGTGTTTGCCTGATATGTTTTATATAGGGTAGTTATCTAGCAGCGTAGGGTTGGTCCTGATTAGATAGGAGACCACCAGGAAATCTCAGGGCAGTAAGATAGATGGGGAAATTTAAAAAAAAAAAATCCTAGAGGAATAAGCAAGCTAGTTCGATACAAGTTTGGCTAAGAAAATTACCAAAACCTGTCCATTTGAGCATGAGTAGCTTAGTTTAGGAGCCATTATCTTTTTTTGTGGTTTTTGTGCACACCCCATTTATTGGCTTGGTTTGTGGTTCAGCTCAGCTTGGCCAAAGCCAGGAAATGAGTTAATTCAATATCTCAGTGTCAGAAGACGTTTGTGTTTCTAAAGCATGGCTACAAAACATGTTTGCCCTAAGCTCATTAAATCCAGAGTGTATTGGTGATGCTATATATTACTAAATATGGTACGTTTATTAATGCTGATATGTTTTACCTTAATTTCATTTTTAAAAAGACTCCCTAGTCATCTTTTCCTAGATCTTCAAATTAAGCAAGACATTCATTTTCCAGGCAATGTAAAATTTACGTAAAATATTTTTTCCTCTTTGGTTACGTTGTTATCCCATTTTGACTTTTCTTTTAGATGATTTAAATTTTGCATGCTGGGTTTACATGGTCTTGTGTGCCATCTGTCATGCAATCACACTCCAAGAGGGAAGCATAAATGTTTATATTAACAAACCAATAATATTATATTATGCAGCCAGGTAATACAGCAAAAAGGTATTAAGCAATATGTAGTAGGTTAATAACTGTAGTAATTACAGGAAATGCAGTCTGAAACATAATTCAAAGTATAATGCTTATAGTTTAAAATACATTAAATTGCTTGAAGAGACTACTCGAAGATGCAGTGTAAAGAATTATCTGACGCTTTATGAATATTAGTCTCTTTTCCTTCCCTTCCTGAAGGTAAAATGAAGGCCATATGCCTGAGTCCAGTTTTTCAAACCCTGGCTGTAATGGTTTGATTTTAGTATAACCTCCTTATTTCAAGTTTAGATGAAATTAGTTTAACTAGCCCCTGTTTGAACCTATTTGCTCTTATCCATGACCTCAAGGCTTAAGTGTTGCCATACTAAGCCATAGTTTGTTTTGAATCATGATCTGTTGAACCAGACAAAAAATTGGTTCACAGATAAAGCTGATTGCTGAATCATGTTATAAACTATGAATTACCAAGTAGCCATAGTGTGATGCATACATTTAACCAAAGTCTGAACTGGAACAACTGGATATAATTAAGAGATCACAATGACCTCAGCAGTTTGAAAACCTTATTCATATTTCTAATCACAGCAGCTAAAGTTGCATACAGAATTACTCTTTGCACAACATATAAAGGCAACATCAAGCAAACTAAATTATGGCTTAAGGTGAAGCATGAACCAAAATTTATATTGCCAAAAGCTTTTAGTAGATGCAAATATTGGATTAAATCCAGTGTTGGCTGGAATAGACCTTTGGATTTGACCTACAATCCATCCATATTTCCTAATAAATGCAAGGGAATTAATTAGAATTCTGCAAACTTCAATTTGGAAAGTAAATTTAAAGCTGATTCAGTCAAATTTTTGAATCTACATCTACTTCTGAAGTGGACCAGGAAATCGCATTGAAGTGGTAAATGAAAGCAGATACATTGCTTCTGAAATACTAGAAAAATCAAGTTTGCCTTCCAAATTATTGAGTTAACAATCAGTTCAAATCAGTTTCTTAGTCTGCAGTTGGTTCACACGCTTTTTAATTAATCCCTTTTAAATTTTAACATTAAAGTTCTATAGACAGCAGCTTTTATTATATTTGGTAATTTTTAGTACTATATTTGATAATTAAAACCTTCTAGGTCTGTGGCAGACTTTAATGGCTGAAAATAATGCAAGGTTTAGAAACAATGTATGTTATTATGGTAGTAGTTTTCAATGCTACGATAACATGTTGCCGCTTCCAACAGTTACAGAGTGATCCAAAATCTTGTAACAATGAACACATCTGTTTGTCTTTTTATATTTTAACAGCTTTTTAGATTTATGATGAGGGGGCAGGGCAACCTATAGTATTTAATTCCATTTCTATAGCTGCCCATCTCAATCCAATTGATTGGTTACTAAACTTGAGCTGGGGGTTGGACTAGAACAGGGATGTCAAACTTGCCATGTCACATGACGTATCATGACATATCATGACTTTTTCCCCATTGTTAGAGCTGAGATGGGCGCGTTTCAGAATGACACATCCAGCCCGTGGGCTGGCAGTTTGATACCCCTGGACTACAAGACCAAGAGTTGGCCCCTAGAAAAATTAGTCCCTTCCAACTCTCTTATTACAGAATAATAAAGATTTGGGGCAGCTAGTCTTCTTGGTAAGTATTTTATCAAGAAATTTCTATGGTAGCCAAGAAATAATTATTTTAAAGCTTGTCATCTTCAGGGTACATACAGCTGAGATGTCAAAAAACCAGTTACACATAAAGTTCTGTACATTATCGACTGTGCTCATAGCTCATGCCATGCCATCATTCAATGAATTGTTTGTGAAACAATCTATGTTTAGTTTCATATACCAAAGTTAGTGAGAAGCCATTACAGATCACAATTCATATAATGTAGGAAGCCAAGAACTAAATCAACTATTATCAAGTTTTCAAGATTATAGACAGATAGATAATGTAATTATTCTCGAAAGCTGCTGAAGGTTAGATAAGAAGCAATGGATGGAACCTTGTCAGAAGGAGATTCAGCCTGGAATTAAGGAAAAAAATCCTGACAACAAGAATAATTAGTCAGTGGAACAACTTGCCTCCTGAAATTATGGATGCTCCATTAAGAAGGTTTTTTTAAAAAAAAAGATTGGACATTTTTCCAGGATGGAATAAAGACTCCTGTTTTGGGCAGGTGGTTGAACTAGAAGACTTCCAATCCAGCCCTATGATTCTGTGATTCGATTCTATAATAATACAGCTCCAGAAGGTCATATAATTTTGTTTTGGCTCAATTGTAATCATAAGTTGGGGACTACCTGTATAGTGATGGGAAGCATAGGCCCGGTCTTCTTCCTTTGGGGTTCAATGACTTTCCAGTACCGCCTAATGCAGTGGTTCTCAACCTGGGGTCGGGACCCCATTTGGGGTCGAACGACCATTTCACGGGGGTGGCCAAACAACGCAGTCTGCCATTTTTTTCCCCCTTTTCCTTAGCTGTGCTACTCCCTTTTATTCTATTGGCGTTTGAAAGCCAATAGAATAGACTCTCTTGAATAGAGTCTAATTCTATTGGCTTTCAAAAGCCAATAGGAATTGTCCAGGCTCTCTCTGCCCTGCTGAGCCCACCAAAAGTCCCATTCTGCAAACGGTGCTGCACCAGTTGAGTAGTCCTCGACTTACGACCGGTTGGGGGTCATGGCATTAAAAAGGTTGAGAACCACTGGCCTAATGCAACTGGAAGGGACAGGGAAATCTGTGTGGTAAGAATTGGGAAGCTAAATCCAAACCTAAATCTGGAGTCAGTTCTCATAAAACCTCTTCAGTATTTCTTGGCTGGGGTTGTGATGGGTCGGGCACGACTTTGCAATTAACAACAACAACAAAATTTCTTGGCATGTGAAAGAGGAAAATGAGTTGATGGGGAGATGGTTTAAGAGGACTATTGAAATGGCTTTGAAGAAAATCAGTAATCATTATGTAAACATCAGCTTATCCCAGAAAGAAGAAAAGGTTGGGGGGGGGGGAAATCAAGATTGCCCACTTTAATATAAAAAGGAATGGAAAGAACCTGTTAGGCATTCCAGGTTCTACTGTTGAATTCCATAACAATAAAAGTTCCAGTATTTCAGACAGTTTCTTGACACGGATTACCTCAAAAGGTTAACAATTACTTTGTAGCTTGGCGTACTCTCTGAACTTAGATACTGATTTTGTTTTTCTTGGTATTATCCTT